ATTCTAATAACTGTTTTTGGTGTTATAAGCACGTTAAGAGATTCACTTGTGCTTAGTATATCATATGCAAGTGATTTTACTCATATACGATATCGAAAAGTAAGAAAATTATTTTATCCCAATTAATCAAAATGTACCTATTGCTATAATTTTTTTTTTCATAGGTAAAAGAAGGTATGAATCTTTTTATTAAAGCTATTGAGGACCTGATTGAATTCATTGCAATTCAAAATATAAATTATGTAAAATCATTTGAGAAAATGTGGGTTAACGTGATTGTATGTACTATCGATATATTCTGTTCATTAAAAAATATTACTTTAATTTATTTTTATTACAGACAGTCCAATGCTTTGTTCTTTTCAACACAACAATTCAAGACCCATCTGGGAATATAAAAGTATCTTTCAACAAAGCTTTTGTTGCACAGCATTGCCAAAGTGGTAGTTTAACAATTGGGGTAAGTTGTTCTTGTTGTTGTTTAAAAGATTTGCTCACTCAAACTTTTATCACATTTCTAGGTCGCTTGTTTGGCAGAAGAAGTGATGTGGTGGAATGAGGAATTTGAACAGATCACACCTTCAATAACTATTGCTTTATGGAACACCACGACCATGGCCCGTTTAGTTAACCTGCATAAGCCATTTGATATATACTTAAAAGTAATTAATTTTAAATGTCAACTGTTTAAAGATAAATTTTTTCATTTTTATTTTTTGATATTAGGCGAAAACTGAAATAAAGCCAGAGGTGTCTGTCCTAAATATCAAACCGATTCCAGGAGGGCTCACATTGAATGGAATGGATGATACAGTGACCCTTCTGGTTTTTCACTTTGAAAGAAATGTTGGAACAATGTCATTCACATTTGACAAATATGAGGATGTAAAGGTGAGAATTAAAGTAAAGAGGAATTGAAAAGATAATTTATTATTATGTCTTTTAGGTTTTAGTGACTCAAGATATGAGGCCAAGTTTTAAAATATTGAGTAAAACCACTGCACTCGAGACAGGAAATTTAACTTTCAAAATAGACAGAAATAAAAAACTAACTATTGTATACTTAAGCATTCTGCCAACTAAAAATGTAATTTTGTTTATTTTATTCGTCGTAATATTTTGCGAATGTAATAACTAAAAACTAAAATTTATAGGTGACATCGTCAATGAAGTTAACAGTACAAATTTCTCACTTGTCATGTTCAATTTGGCACAAGGGACGCATGAACTCTTCATTCTGTTCTGTAAGGTTTACATTCTTATTTTTATTAAGCATTTATCACTAACAAAGTTTAATTAATGATGAAATATAATCATAAATAAAACCATTGGAATTTACATCCTTGAGAAGTTCAAATTACCTTTTTAGGCTCAACTCGAAAATAATGTAATACATTGTCAGTGCAGCCACTTGTCATTTATTGCTGCGTCTTTCTTTATGGCACCTCATTATGTGAACAATTTACTGGAAGAGCCTCTGAGCATTGTACTGCAGAAGAACTATTCACTTCTTGTATTTCCTGCTGTTATTGCTCTGATATTTTTATTGACTTTCCTATTAATGGTTTACCAACGGATATATAAAAAATTCGAAGTAAACCGATAAGGAGTAACCCTTTTCATTTAGTATTTTAACTGGATTGTATTTACCTTTAGAAAAGTATAGAAATACTTCGAGACAATTTCCCAGGGGATGAGTTTCCTTACTTGGTCTCCGTTTATTCTGGAAAGATTTTCTCAAGAGCTAACACTGCCCACGTTGCAATCCGACTTTTCGGCACCAAAGCTGCTAGCAGGGTAAAACTAATTTTTACTTTTTTAATTGACTGTAGACTTAATTTTCTTTTTTCAGATTCACATTCTTGAAAAGCAAACAGGAAAAGTGCTGCAACCCTCGATGGATGACTGGTTTATTGTTTTCACTAAGGAACCATTAGGTGAGGTCAAGACTATAGAGATCTGGCATGATGACTTTGGACACAACCCAGAATGGTATGACACATTTAAAATAAAAATATAGTATATTTTGGTTTGATTTTTATTCATTTAGGTTTTGTATAAAGATAATAATTTATGATCTCAAGAATTCAGAATATCATTTTCCAATCAAAAAGTGGTTCTCTATTTTTGATATAATGAAGCACTCAACGTCTCATAAATTTAAAATTAATAATGTTCCTGACTCCACAAATAATTGTAACATCGCGAGAAAAGATTTTTACAGGCATCTCAGAGAACAACACCGTCACATTAGTATATTTACAAGGTATACTTTTATTACTTCAATCAATAAACTATATTATTGTGTCTTTGCCCAATTTCAGACACCCTCGCAGTGCGTTCACAGTGATCGAAAAGCTTCTTTTGTGTTTAACGTTCTTCAGCATTCATATGATGATAAACATTATGTTCTTTGGTGTCCACTCACGTCAGCATTTTATATCATAATTTGATGATTTAAATTAAAGTTATTATATTAAATATGTTTTCCAGGTTCTCCCATTGTTGTCTCCCAGTCTCAGATGACAGTGTTTATGATCGCACTTGAAAGTACCATAATCACCATTTTTCTAAGCAATCTGTTGATGATTTTTTTCAAGTAAATATTAAGTTAGATGTTGGACTTTTTATGATCTTTCTATCAAATCTATTTTGTTTTCTTAGAAAATCTAAATCAGACTGTTTTGAAGGAGAAATGCTATCACAGAATTATAAACTGCTGTTGGAAAGTGAGTTCATTTCTGTTTCTTAATTTTTAATTTTTTTTAAAACAAACTTGTAACAATTGTGTAAATGCATTGGCACATTACTTCAGTAGTCTAAATTATAATTAACAAGATTAACATGCAATAAGTAATTAAACTATATTTATAATTTGAAACATTTATCATGTTTGCTTATGATTCTTGACTATTATACCAGAATTAACACCACGTAAATAAATGTAAACAAAACTTCATTTTTATACAGAGAGTACCAGCAGATTTCACAAGCTGTTGATAAATCTTTATGGCCCCAAAATGTTCATGTCTTTGAGGGTGAAACAAGAATCCCACCCAATAAATATCTGGACATATTTTTCTTGGTAAATGATGGCCACTAATGTTGAATAATTGTCTATGTTAGTACATCGATGTTCTTTTTTTTTTTTTTTTTGTAGGTTTATATCATTTGCAATATTTTTTGCTTGCATATCGGTGGTGGCTTTATTCATCTTGGATTTCGGTGGGCAAAAAACATTTCACTGGATTGCAAATTTCATCCTGGCATTGTTTCAGCAATTTTTTATAGAGCCAATTTTCATATTTGTTAGCATTTTTATAACATCTATCATCTGCAAGGTCAGTATTATGATTTAGTATATTCTAATTTTATCTTTTTTTTTTCTTTATTTAGTCATCCTACATTCTAATTAATATTTTTTTAGATTTATAGACCTTCTTTTTTTTAATATTTGTTATTTTTAGGCTTTTTCTTGAAGGCATTTTTTTTTTTTTAATTTTCAAATGTACATTTTGACATCCTGTTCCCTTCTCAAGTAAAATGATAAGAAATATCATCAGGGGCGGGGGCAAAAGTTAAGTCGTTAACACAGTGCTCATCGCTGTAAAGTAATGGTACCACATTTGAACCCAACATTCTTTCAAATGGGCTTAAAAAAAAAAAATAAATATATCACACTTAAATTTAATTCAAAATGGCAACTTTGTGATTTAGATTTCATGATTAGTGTGCTTAAAAAAAGTCTGTCATCATGCAGAAACTACGAAGACCTTCGGGTCAAACATAAGCTCGGAAACAATGTGACCGAAATTTTGAAAGATTCCCCAGCTAACATTATAAAGCTTTTTGAGTTCCTAACTGAAACTGGGTTGACCGATAAATTGTGACAAACAATGAGTAGGAGGGCGGAGCGACCTTGGGTGCGGGCACGTGGGCTGAGTTGACCCCGGAACTTGGGAGGGCTGCGGATGCTGGCACACCATGCGCAGCCCTCTGAGAAGTCTGCCACTCTTAACCACTAAGGTCTTGTGTGGAGAGGAGCTGGTCTGGGTGTCTGTTCTTGCCTGGTCCTGTGGTATCCGGTTCGCTGTGGGGGCGCGCCCGCTCTTGATGTCCCTGCCCCTCCTGGCTTATCGCTCTCTGTTTTCTTCTCTCATTGATTAATTCATCATCAAGGCAGTTTTGACCCATCGTGGTTGTATGCCTTTATAATTAAATAAAATAAATAAATAAAAAAAGAATCCAGCCAGAGAAAGTGCTAGATCCTAAAAAAAAGTGCTGAATAAGTTATGGTCCAAAGCAGATTGACTATAATTAAATAATGACCACCATCCATTCTTGTTCCATATGGTGTGGCAATTGGTTTGAACATATTTTTGTAAGATGAAATTCCTGTTTATTTAAATTTAAAAAAAAATGTTTTCAAACTTTAAAAAGAAATTTAATTGATATTAATTATTATTATTTTCCTGATTAATCAATAAATTGGTTTTTACACTTTTAATTAATTTATAAAAGGCATTATTTTATAAAAGGCATCTGATTAGCTCGTATTCAGGTCCGATCAAGATTTTTGGAGCTCTGTTTTCTAATAATCAGAATTCAGAGTTCTTGTTCGAATCAAGACAAAATAAAAATAAATAAAACAAATATCATCACCTACAAATAACAAATATTAAATTCTAATTAATATTTCTCCGTATTAAACAAATAAATATACACTATATATACATTTCTCTGTACATTATCTTAGATGACATTCATAGAAAAAATTAAAATGTATAAAATAGAAAGGGATCAGACTTGGAAGAAATCAAAAAAGATGATCACCATGGTTCACTTAAGACTTTTAAAGCTAAGAATTAAAGCATTTTATACAAAGAACTTCATGAAATTTAAGGAAGTATGTATGTGTATGCCTGGTGATATCATCTAATTATATTAATGTTGTTCTAGGAGATTTATGAGAAAAAATTAGACAGAATGAGATTTTTAAAATTCAAGATAGAACTCGGTACACTTGTTATATTTTTCATCATCCTTGTGTTTTTAGTTTTTTCTCTCTCTATCCAAGAGAAAAACTATATGATTTCCAACTTAAAAAGCTTTATAGAGTATCAGACGAAAGCAAGTGAATCTAGTGTACTTGATGTGATCTCACATGACAGGTAGTGTAGTGTTTTTATAATATGATATTGTTTTAACATTTCAATTAAATAGACTTGCAGATTACCTTATTGAAAAGCTCATCCCTGCATTGCACAACCTCGACTGGTACAACGCTAGACACCTTCCATTGGAATGTGAGTGCATTATGATGATCTAAATCATTAGAGCCATTTAAATGTTAACAGCAATTAAATTAAATGACTAGGGATGGATGCAAAAGTACCAGGAAAGAAGCAAAGAAGAGATACGGTTCAAAAAGGTTTTACAAAAGACTATGTGTCAAAAATTATCGGTAAACCGCGTATTGCACAAAGACGAGTGAAACCAGATTGTAAAGTTCTTTATTCTACGTTCATTATTCTATACATTGCAATTATTTTCATTTTAAATTCCAGATTATTATGGAGTATCGTCATACTGGGAAAATTTATTTAATCGATCCTATTCCAGTCTGAACAAGTACAGTGAAGACACGAGGCCATATTTGCCCAGTTGGAAAGCTTACGATCCTGACATAGAGGAGATTTGGAATCACACAATATACAATTATTACCCTTCAAGGCTTTACACAGGTAAAAGTCAGATGTGTGAATAAGACAAAATTTGAGATTGGTAGTTATACCTACCACTATAATTATAAAATTACAATTTAAACAAGACATAAAGCATGTTAGTTACTGAATTGAGTCATACCGTTGAGGGCATTTTTTGATGTGTCACAAGCGTTTGACCTCTTGTGGCATGTAGGCCTACAAAATAAAGTACATCTTTCCAAATACCCTCTACCTCAGTGGTCGGCAAACCGCGGCTCGCGAGTTGCATGCGGCTCTTTGAATCTTGGCTGCGGCTCTTTCACTGAATGCTTAGTGTAGACACGGAGCGAAAAGTATGACAGGTGCAAGAAATGGGATTGTCGCTATTTTTAAAGAAAAAATTAATCACGAGATACCATTGTATTATTCATCAGGAAGCACTATGTGCGCAGACATTTCCTGAAGAAATTTTCTCAGCAGGTTCAAAGGCTTTAGAAACAACAAAGCGATGCTAGCCTTTGTTTAAAAAAAACCTCTGAATGCCACGGTAACAGAAATTAATTTTTCCCCTTTAATATTGATATTGGCAGCTTTGAAATGCAGTTGCTGGATTTAAAAAATAAAGAATTTTGGAGCTCAAAATTCGAGTGTCTTTAAACCGATTTACAGCTATTGGAGAAAAACAAATGTGAATTAAGTTTACAGCACAAACAGTCTTCTTTGAAAGATCTGGCGAGGGAAGATATGCTGATTTTTAACTGAAGAAACTAGCGTTTGATGTTCTTTTCTTATTTGGGTTTACATATTTATGCGAACAATGCTTATGAATAAACAAACAATAAGTTAACAAGACTATGAATACTAGTGAATACTATGAACTAACTAGTTAACAAGCTATGAATAAACTTCAATTTTGTATTTTTGATTATATTTGGCTCTTTTGGATGATGAGTTTGCCGACCACTGCTCTACCTAATTCTCCGTTCTTATCTAACCAAATGATTCTTCAGAGTCAGACAACTCCGACTACCATCCTTTGGAAGCGAGAGACCTCAGGGCAGTGTACTTGAACTTATCTTTTTCTTCTCTATACTGCAGATATCCCAATTTCACTCTCCACCAGCATTGCATCTTTTGCCGACGACACAACTACGTTCATTGTGACGTTCTGGACTGATATGGCCAGAAAGGGACACCTAGCCATTGCTCCTGGCAAGTCAACCCCCAATCCGCCTCAATCCTGGGGGTGACATGTCTAATCCCAATCCAATTATTGAGGAGCTCCAGCCACATGTCCTGCAAGTAGCCGTATGGAGCACACTGGTGTATAAAGTTTAACTAAAACAAAAGCACTCATGAATCAATGACCTTCTATCCAAAACCCTCTTACAATATCCAGTAATAATACTCCTAATCTGAAAATAAACTGCATCCAATACCTTGGGTTTTATCTACTTAAACTAACCTGGAACTAATACACATTATATATATATTATGCAGGGTGGGTGACCAAGACCCGAGGGGTTAAATGCCTGGGTAGATCCTAAAAGGTCCGGGACTTGGTCAGCTCACGTGCCCTGCATAAACCTCTTGAACCTGTTCACAAACTCCAAGATATTGGATCATTTAATCTCAGGGAGTGATTTGGTGATGTCCTCTCCTTCAAAGATTCCAAATCTAGAGCTAGCATACCTATCACACTCTGCAAGGTAGTGCCTTGCTGTTTCTTCTTTTATTTAACAAAAACGACAAAAGAGGTCTGGTAAAATATTCATTACAAAGAGGTGTCTTCTCAGTGGGCAGTGGCCCGTCAGAATACCTATCAGCCTTCTAATTCTCTTCCTTGAGATAGAAAATAGCCATTTCGATTCTGCTGGTTTGATCGCCTTAACAAGCTCTTTCGATTGCCTGTGTCCGGGGGATAAATTCCACTCCCTAAGGAATTGTTCCATGCCCCAGTTATTGATACTCTCCGACTAATACACATTACTAATAGGGCAGAAATTGAAAAAAATCTTCGCACTACTCACTACTGTAGTTTCAGCCGTTTACAAGACAATACTAAACTATACAATTATTACACTAAGCTGGATGGACTATTACTGGGGGCACTGCTAAAACCTTCCGACATCTAAAGAATACTGTCCACAGCCCTCACAACCATAGTCAATGCTTCTTATTTGTTCTCTAACATTATCCTTCACAAAGACCTCTAAGTCCCTCTTGTGAAAAAATAATCCCTCAAACATTTTCCACTTTCCACAATAAACTCTCCTCTCACCCCAATCGAGTTGACCAATCCTAATCAAATAGAATTATAATTCCTCCAGACTACTGAAGAGGAGAATGCCTCATGACCTACTAAACTAGGATTAGTCGTCGCATACAGTTGGGAGAACAACAACGGTTGTTAAACCCCCCCCCCCAGGCCCATGTTCTATGTCATTTGTAAATCCAGTTCATTACATAATGTAAATTAGTTTACACATTGTAATAAATATATTAAATTAACAATAAATATGTAAATAAGTCACTGAATTATAATATACACACACAGAGTAAACGCTTCATTCACACAGTATAAAATACAGTGCCAACATCAGAATTAACAACAAAACACATCTTTATTTTATTATACATCAAAATATTAATATAATTTTCAAATCAATGTCACAAGATTTTTTATTGTTTTTTTTTCTTTTTTTAAAGGTCTTCATATTGGAGGATCAAGAGAGATATATAAAATTAGGGATGGTTATGTTATATTATTGTCAACTTTTGGTGGTGAATCGTTAAAAAAAATAGTTGATCTCAGCTTAGATAATTTCTTCAACAACTTCACAAGGATTATTTACATAGAATTTTACCTGACGAGCATTAATTCAAAATTGTTGGCCCAGGTTCTCCTTTCACTCGAACATTTTTCCAATGGGGTCTATATTCCCAAGTTACAAGTAAGGAAGTCGGACAGAATTTAATTTTAACATTGTTTCTTAAATGTTTCATTGCAGTTAGAAGCGATCACTATGGATGCAACTGTTCCTTCAAGCAGTGTGTTACTGTCGATGTGTTGTCTTTCAGTGATTGGTGTGATTTTTACGATATTATCAATGAGAAAAATACTCAGATTCGATCTGACACAGTCCATAAAATCAGTTTATTCAATCAACTCCACATTGATCGCAGTGTTCACTTTGTGTTCAATATTATTTTTTATAATGAGGTGGACAACTTTGAACCTTAGTATAGACGAGTATGTTGAGAGTTATGTTTCTGATTACATCAGCTTCCTTATTCCTACCGAGATGGACTTCAAATTTCAAGTTGCTATTGGAATTTTATGTTGCTTGATTTCACTGCAGTTTACAAAATACAAGCCGACCATACTGTGGGAAGATTCAATAATCACAAGCACATTTTTTCACAGAAGCATAGTTTTCTTTATGTTCGTATTATACACAGTCGTAATTATTGCTGTGTTCCTGTCATCCAACATGTGGATAGATTACCAGCAGACTTTCTGTTTTGATCAAGATTTCTCTTCGCACGACGATACAAACACAAAGAAGTTCAACCGAATTTTCAATCTGACATGGATGTCTATCATGTTCATGGGCTACGTTATTGGAGGAATGTTGGTCGGTACGATTATTCGAAAACACAGGCAACGATTCAGACTGGATACAGAGTATCATCAGTTGTTTACCGAGACAAAGAATAACAGGACATTTAGAAGAAAATTGCTCAACAATTCATTAACATTTAGAAGACATTTGTTACAAATGAAAATGTCCCATCTGTTAAATAAACCAAAATATGTTTAGCAGCTTTTTCCCTATGTAATCAATATATTAATTAATTTTTTTTTCAAAATATTCTAAACAATTTTGTTTCAATTTTTTTCATATTTCCCTATTGTCAAGCGAGAAATAGATTTCACATATTTATTCAATAAAGGGAAAATAAAATTCTCTGATTATTTTATTCGTATAAAATTTTAAATAACAAATTTACGGGAAAACAACCATTAATTATGCAAGCAAACCTGGGAATATTTCTGAAATAGAGGTTTTTGAACAATACTCACTTTTTGAAAGTGAAAAAATATAAAAATTTAAAAAAGATAAAAATTTAAAAAATATAAAATCTTTTCACAGAGAGACAACCTATGTTGTACTTTGTTTGTTGATAAGTCAGTTTTAATTAGTGCCTCTTATTTAACTAAATTTAAGAACGTTTTTGGTATAAAATATGCAACTTGACTGGACGCTGTTGGTCGGGCTTCGTTAATTGGCCATTTTTAATAATTGGTGTCTGGTTAAATCACACAGAACAGCCAATGAAGACCGGTCAAGGATATGCAGACCAAAATTATTACTTTGTTAATTTTTAATTTGGTTCACTGCCATGAAATGAAATCTCACAGTTTGTGTTGTCTTTTTCTGTTTCCAATGGTCGTTAAAATAAAATAAAATTCAATACAATCAGTTTCAAATCACCTATATTTCCCAAGCCTTTCATTTAAAAAAAATAACTACCCAAATACATCCTTCAAGTAATAACTAACATTTTATCCACTAATAAAATAAGTCTTTAAAAATATGGCTATTTTGTAAAAGTTGAAGAGTTATGCAGTCACAACATAATTGTGTTTAAAGTTGACCCAAATTTTTGCCCTAAAAGACAAAAATTTATGCAAGCATTTTTCTTATCATGTAGTTAAGTATTCCACCATGTCTATAATAGAGAAGGTCAACCTCAGTGTCAAATCTGACAGTGACATCAAAACTCTTTCCAGCGTCAGTCTACGAAAAGAATGAAAAATTGAGTGAACTAATAAAAAAAACAAAATAATTGAAAATTTATTTGATTATTACCTGTACTGAAACGGTCTGGAGAGGCCGTAAATCACTTGGGATGTCAATTGAAAAAACCTCCTTGCCTGTCAAACCGAGAGATTTTGCGTTCTGCCCGTTCAAGAATTGGAGGGGGACAACGCCCATTCCTACAAGGTTGGATCTGTGGATACGTTCGTACGACTCCGCAATAACGGCTTTGATCCCCTTTAATCAGAACAGGATATTTCATCAATAAAAGTAATAAGTTTTACATCAAGAGGGCAAATACCAGTAAGAACGGCCCTTTTGCGGCCCAGTCTCTTGATGACCCTGATCCATAATCCTTTCCGACAATCAAGATCAACGGTGTGCCCTCTTGTTTGTACCTTTCTGCAGCGTCAAAAACGTCCAACTGTAAACACTCAAATAAGAATGTGTTCTTTTCTAAAAGCAGTGTTAATATGAACTACCTCTTCGTTGGAGGGAAAGTGGACGGTTCTAGGCCCAGGAGCTGAGACAAAGTGATTGACAAGGCGAATGTTAGCAAATGTGCCCCTTGCCATTATATCATCATTTCCTCTTCTCGATCCATATGAATTGAATTCTCGCGGGGTTAAACTGAAATGAACTTATTATTTAAGTATGTATCTAAGAAAAACTAATTTTTATAATATTTAATTTATGCTGAAATAGCATTGAATTACTTTTTGGTCTGTCTTCACTCGCAGTTTGTTGAATTTGATAGTTCAATAAACCTGTGAGTGAAGGAATGATCCGAAAAGTGACCCTACGTCGGTTAAGCATGAGTTCACCAATTTTCAGGCCAACACCCATCATCAACTCAATTTAAATTTGCTCATAAAATAATGTAATTGACAATTATTTAAAGATACTTTGTAAAGATTTTTTTTCTGTTGGATCTGGTCAAGGTGTGTGGTGAGCCACACAAAGTTTTTAAATTTATTTTCTTCTGAATATGTGACAAAAAGGGGTTTGATCTATCCCATTTAATTTTAATGACACAACAAACGTCATAATGATTTTTAAATTATTTTATGCATAAATTGTATTTTGTTAGCTGTTTTTTTGTTACCCTCTGCTTGCTAAGAATCTAGCTGCAGGGCTGTTTCTTGCTATGCTCCCAGCTGGAGAGATGTGGTCGGTTGTAACAGAATCCCCGAGGAGGAGGAGAACCCTTGCATTTTTAATGGGCTGAGCTTTTGGCAATTCCTAGAATATACAAAAATAGTACACAGAAAGACAGGATGTAACCGAAAAACATTACTTTAGTCATTCCGGCGAAAAAAGGAGGACTCTTGATATAAGTTGATTTCTGGTCCCAAGGGTACAATTTGCCATCTGGAGCTGACAGGCTCCTCCACGAGTTGGAACCGTTTTCGATTCTTGAATAGACATCCCTGAACATTCCCGGGATGACCGTCACTTTTTCTACATGGTGGATCTCTGTACGTGATGGCCAAACGTCCCTCAAGAAGACCTGTTTTCCATCTACTCCAACCCCTAAAAATAACACCAAATGCTAAACTACAACGATCCGGATTTCAAGCCTTAAATTCCTGAAATCTGTATCTTTGAAAACAACAAACTGTGAGTAAAAACTATCTTTTAAGGTAGTTGAACAACATACTCACCCAACCTTTATCGTTTCTACATCAAAAGCTTTCAACATACATTTTTTATCCTTGGAATTATGTTATGATATGTGGTGTTTAGTGACCATTAGCGAATGATTATTCGAAGATCATGCGGTGCGGTCTGGTGTGACATAGGTTTTAGAAAAACATTTTCATTATCATGCCAACGTTTCAATCTTTATTCAGATCATCTTCAGGGCTCAAAGTGTTTGTTTTCCGTGTAGATGGGTCAATCTTGGGTGTCGTGTTGAGAGTGCCCTCAAAAATCGAAACATTGGCACAATAAAGAAAATGTTTTTCAAAAACCTACGTCACACCAGACTGCACTTCACAATCTCCAAACAGTTATGAATTATATTGGATTATGTTATGATAAATAGATCTGGATATTTGTTGTTTACATTTTTAGGTTACAAACATCACGTAATTGTAATTTATTTAATATAATTTTAATTTTACAATTATTAAAAGTTATAACTACCCAAAGGCTCTGTTTCAAAGTCTATGTCGACTCGTCCAGCAATGGCGTATGCTATTACTAACAATGGTGATGCCAAATAGTTAGCTCTTGTGTTTGGATGAATTCTGCCCTCAAAATTTCTGTTTCCTGATAGAACACCACAACACACCAACTCATTCTGAAAAAAATTGAAACCATTAAAAAGTCAAAATAAAGTAAAAAATAAAAATGTACCTTTTCAATAGCATCAACCATGTAGTCAGGTAGAGGACCAGAGTTACCGATACAGGTCATGCATCCAAATCCAACAATAGAAAATCCAAGTTTATTAAGGTATGGGATCACTCCAGACTCTCTCAGATAGTGTGTTACAACGCCAGAACCGGGCGAAAGCGAAGTCTTTACATATGCTGGAACTTCAAGTCCGGCTTCAACTGCCTTTTTGGCAAGGAGTCCTGTATGACAAATACAAGGTGGAAACTAATTAATTTTTATATTATTGTTAATCATTATGTAAGTAATAAAATTTTTACAAAAAGAGGCTACACATAAAAGCTAAATAAAGGAACTTCACCCTTTAAAGCTATTCCTTTTTTAATATATAAGATACAAAATTTACTTCAGTGACATTAACAAAATACAACTTTATTAAAAATCAAATTTAGGCAGAGTTTACATTTTTTTACACATCTCAGCAGAAACTTTGTTTATTAATGACTTTACTTATCATAATGTTGAATTAAAGGAGTTTGTACCTGCACCAAGCATGACGCTCGGGTTGCTGGTGTTGGTGCAGGATGTGATTGCAGCGATGACAACAGACCCATGGCGGATTGTGTATTCTTTACCCTCGTGAATGAATTTTCCAGTTTTTGACATTACCTCTGGACTGAGTCCAAATCCATTGAATCCAACCTGGAATTTAAAGACAAATTAGAAAGAAAAAAAACAGGATATATTTACGAATAATTTCTTAAATTCTTATTCCTTAAAAATGATTGCATTCATCGTTGTTGTGGTAATTGTTATTTTTGTATAATTTAGAATGTAAAGAAACCTTTAACAAAAGTGAAAAAGAAAATGTATAGTAGCCTCTTTGGTGGTTAAGTGAATGTATAAAAGGAACTATTTTCTTCATAGGCTTGTATAAAATATAGCTTATATGATTAGAGTTGGATTGAAAATCGATGAATTTGTTTTTAAATGTTGAAAGATAAGTTGAGGAATGATCATTTAGTGGCAAAGAAAAACGCCAAAAATTAGCCAAAGACAAATCCTGGATCATGATGCTTTCTTTACTATCTAAATATAGCAAGTTTGATACATTTATGTAATCCAAGCAAATTTTTATAAATGCACTTTTTTCTTGTTTCTGCAAGTAGCAAATAATTATATAAAATATAATTTCACTAGTTTCGTGGTCCGCTTGACCAATTAATATCTTTCAATTAATTAAGGTTTTAGTTGAGATAAAAAAGTCAGTGTCACGAGCGGGTTCGAACCCACGACCTTCGGCTAAATACGCCGCTGCTCCACCACTTGAGCTTTCATGACCTCGATCCACTCGGATACCAACTAAATTCAAAAGGTGGGGTTGAGATGGGAAGTTAGTGTCCAAGTGGATCGACTTTTTATCTCCACTAAAAATCTTAATTGAAAGATAAAATATAATATTTATTATAATAATGTGGGATTTAGATTTTTACTTTAAACCAAACATTAAGGTCATTTTCGAAATAGTTAATCAAATAAAAAATCTTCAAAAATGATGGCATACAGAAGCTTTGAGAAAACTATAACTTTTGGTTTTGAATTGTTTGCTATATTAATACTTTGTAGTAAATATTACAAAATTAAACACTAATACCAACAAAGCAAGGCTTGTCAAGCCCACAAATGGTAGCACCACCATGATGGCTAATGAGCAATCTTGATCTACAACATAATGATTTTTTCATTCAGATAACTTCTGCAAATACTTCTTCCACCACAAAAACAAGCTCTGATATTTTTTTTTTTTTTTTTTTTGTCAAATTGGACAGAACTATGACATAAAAAATTAACTTATTATTCAAGGAAAACAACACTTAAGGTCATCCTCACCCCTTTAAGAATAGGCCGTGCGAGGTTGACAAATGGGTCCCACCTAATTGAAGTACGTAATTACTCAGCTTTGATACATATAGAGCGCATGTAGGAATGCCACTTGAGATGAGAATTATGCTTGAGCACAACAGTAAGTATCTTGGTCCCCTGTTTCAATTTTTGAAGGACACAGGGTTATTTTATGGTATATAATTCGGACAGTTTTGTGTACTTAGTATGTTTTGGGGGGTGAATGTATTTATTGGCGTGAATGTGTAATGTAAAAGGGTTGATAGTGGAATACTGCGTACCCCATCAATCCTAGGTTATTTATATATTAATCCATTTATGTTTAATGGTCTAATTGACCATTTTAGTTATTTCAATTAATTATTCTTTTTATGTAAGGTTTTGGTTGAGATGAAAAAATTAGTGATATGAGCGGCACTAGAACCCACGACCCCTTCGGCTCAATACTCTGCTGCTCCAACCACTTGAGCTACCGTGACTTCATGGAAATTCCCGCTCGTGACACTAACTTTTTCATCTCAACCAAGACCTTATATAAAAAGAATAATTAATTGAGTTAGTTATATAGATGTATAGGGTGATGGAGGAATATTGAGTACTCCACCACCTTGAGTGGATGTTATGTACTTAACAGTGAGAGTGTGGTGAATAGGTTAGGATGTAGGAACTGGCTGTTTTAGGTGCTGAAACGACCTAGCTGTGGCTGGCACCCAGAGCCTAATCTCGGTGGCTGGTCGGATAAGCCCAGGTTTGACCCCAGACTGCCAAAACCATGGCCAGTGATTATCAAGGCCTGCCAACTGGTCTCTTGGGAGATTTTATTGCTTAGAGAATTACATCCTCAGTCATGATAGTAATTACATGCCTGAATTGACCAAACACTTCTATTAATTTTTCATACGATTTTCCATAGTTTGGAAATATATAACTTTGAAAACAATTTAACCAACCATGGCATAATAAACGGTTCAAACAAAATCATTGAGATTACTGTTATAAATTAAAAAGAAAAAGAAGTTGACAAATGGGATTGTTTGAATTAATGGTTGACCGTTGGCACTGATTGCACATCAGTGCACACATTAAAAAATAATAAAAACGTCTCCAGGGAAAATCCTAAAGCATATATTTGAGAGTTCTTGGTTTAATGATTATTCGGAAATCGTGAGGTGCGGTCTAGTGTGACGTAGTTTAGAAAAACATTTTCTTTATCGTGTCAACGTTTCGATCTTTATTGAGATCATCTTAAGGGTCTAATCACCACACACTTGGTTTAACGATGATTTGATACATTAACATCAAAATGGGATAGACCTGTAGATTGATTAACTGTTCACATTTAGAGATTTCCCTTAAACGTTCGACAGGAAAAGAAAAAAAAACCGCGATCAGAAGGAACAGGTAAAACGAAGGATAATTCAATAGCAAGGATTAACTCTGGGAATTTGACCTCACCGGGGCCAAAGTCGGATTTGGAAATAATTAAACTTTTCTCAATGGGGGCGACTGACCAGGTAGTTTCCTTTTCGGCATTGCGGCAATAAAACATTACAACCCAGAAGAGTTGAAATACTTTGACCTTAATTTCAGGCAAAGAAAAAAAACAGAAGAAATCTAAAAAATTTGTAGCAATGTAATTTAAATGAATAGGATGAGTCAAAACTTCATAGTATAATTCATAATTACTGCCAAGTTTGTAAATCTTTCGTATATTTTGACTTCATCAAAATCTCATTCATATTTTCCAGAAAGACTATAAAAAAACGATTAAATAACGCTAAACCCTTTAGGAGAAATAGACAAATAATACGGAAGATTTAATTAAGTAAATACAGAACAATATGGTAAATCTATCAAAAATATATCCTAATTCCTTTTGAAAGCAAAAAATCGAACGTCAATTATAAACTGACGTTTAATTTTATTCATTTAAGTAAATGATCATATATTAACGATTTTTTCGAGGTTCGTAGTACTTTTTTGGTGGAATTCCATCATCAAAGGTTGAACACCAATGAAGCCTTTAGTTCCAACTATTTATTAGTTTATTTGGGAAGTTTTTCGCATGCATTGCAAGCAGTTAAAACCTAATCTCATAATTTCCAGTTAATGAATTGGACTAATTAATGAAATTTAATGAAAATTAAAACAATATAAACCAGCTAACACGAAGATGCACTCTGTTTTTTTGTTGTTATTACTGCCATATATTATTCAAACAATAAAAATATCAATATATTATTTTCTTTATTATTTTTATTAAATGTAATTATTTCATTCAATTCATTAGATGTGAATTAAGATTAGGATAAGGCTGAAGATGCTTATAATGTAAGTAAAAAGCTTCTCAGACATACTAAACAGTTGGAACTAATAACTTTGTTTATCACATGTTATTGAATTTCAGTTTTCACCTTCTTAGTTTCATTATTGGACAGTTTTATTACATTGATATATTTTTTTGACTTCTTAGACCTCAGGATATCATCTATTGTTTATGTTCTTTTTTTAAAAACCCAAACATAATTTAATTAAGGTGTAATAAATAAATAAAAACTGTACTGATTATGACTTTATATGGCACAAATGCCAAAACGCAAATTGCATATAAGTAGTGTACTTTTTCATATGATTTTCTAACCTGAAAAAATTACTCTTCTGGTCAACGATTATCTTTTATAAGCTCTATAGAATAAAAAGTCGTCCAATGTTTGATCGCTAATATATATTTTTTAAAAATAGATTTGATGATAGAAATGGTTGATTTAATGTAAAATTAGAAAAAGTTTCGGCCTTAAATGGCCTTTTTCATGTGTAATATTTATTCCTAAAAATTATCACAATTTCCACGTTAAATCCTTTTTTTAAAAGATGGTTCCTACTCGCATTAAGCTTAATTTAAAAAAATTAAGCTTAAAAGCATTAAAATTAAACTCACATTAAACTTAATGTGAGTAGGAACTATCTTTTTAAAAAAAAAAAGGATTGAACTCCACACTCATTCCATCATTCATAATGTCTATTTCCACGTTATTCCCAAAATTATCACAATTTCCATGTTATTCCTAAAAATTATCACAATTTTCATGTTATTCCTAAAAATGATCACGATTACCACGTTATTCCTAAAAATTATCACAATTTCCACGTCATTCCTAAACATTATCACAATTTCCAAGTTATTCCTAAAATTATCACAATTACCACGTTATTCCTAAAAATTATCACAATGTCCACATTATTCCGAAAGTTTATCAGAATTTTTACATTGGCCGAAACGTTGTTAAAAAGAAAAAATGCCATTTTTCTTGAAAAAAAAAAACCCTTTTATAAAAAGCGCCAAAAAAGGAAAACATCAGAAAGAAAACCGATGATTGTACGATAAAAAAGAAAAATGAAAAAAAAAAGAAAACATGCAAACTATGTTTATTTGTGTTTTGTCCTTTGGTTATTTACACGATGCCAATTCCCTCATAGTTCATTAGTAAGAGTTCCTAAGCAAGCGTTTCAAAGAGCAAAAATAGTCCAGCTTTCACCATTCATTTGGACGCCATTGTAGAATTCCAATTTTAGACGCTTTTAGCACCAAACATGGTATTTGTCAACTCACCAATTCAACAAAAATATAAATACTGGGCATGATTTGTTGTGGCTTATCGACTAGGAAAATTAATTTCGAATAGTTTGGGATATATATATTGACTTATTGGTCAATAACTGTAAGTTTTGGGAAATAAAATGATCAATTATTTTTCATAGGAATCATGTTGGTACGGTAAACGTTTTAAGGGCGGACTTTA